CTGGGAAATGTGTAATTCTGAAGTGTCCTGACTGGTTCAGATTATTAGCTGATGGGAAAAAATGTGATGGATGGGAGCCCGAAATAGTCTTAGACAACACTATTCAACTGAGCAAAGTAGGTAATGCCGGCATGTGAAAGAAACCTAATCAATCAATCATTTCATGTCAAACTATGACCTGGGAGAAGGACTGGCAGAAGCTGGGAAATGTGTAATTCTGAAGTGTCCTGACTGGTTCAGATTATTAGCTGATGGGAAAAAATGTGATGGATGGGAGCCCGAAATAGTCTTAGACAACACTATTCAACTGAGCAAAGTAGGTAATGCCGGCATGTGAAAGAAAATATAAACAAGAGAAGAAAGAAAAGACCAATGGTATCAGATATTTGGGGCTGCTCAACAGAAAAGCTCTTCTATAGCAGGTGTCGAAGCAAAACACAGGCATGTGGGAAATCCAGGAAAATTGCTTGGGATGTCAAAGCATGTTACATAACAATACTGCCCATTGCCTGTGACAGCATCAGGAGACACGTTTCATCACAAAAGAGTCAACAGGATGGAACTCAAAATGCAGAAATGTAGCAGTCACATACAGAGTTCTCTGTCATTCCAATAAATGATGGACTATTCAATGCCAGTTCACGAGGAACAAAAGCAGAGAAGGGAAATATTTTACACAGTAGGGGAAAAAAGCCAATTGATAATAAGAACACAGAAAACAGGATTTTACTGCAGTTCCGACTATGGCTAGTGTAGATCGATCTATTAAGTTTCATGAACAAAAGCTAGAAAATGCCTGTTAAAATCCAATTGGCTGTAATGGTTTCAGCAGCAGATATAAGTGAAGGACAGACGTTTTATTCCTTAAGGCTATGTCTACACTGTAACTCATTTCAAAATAACAGAGTGTACGTCTACACAGCAAGCATGTTATTTCAAAATAGCAGGCTTCTTACTCTGACCCCTCATTCAAGAGGAGTAAGGGAAGTCGAAGGAAGAGTGTTCTTCCTTCGACTTTCTGCTGTGTAGACAGGGCCAAAAGCCGAATTAAGCTACTTCGACTTCAGCTACGCAATTAACATAGCTGAAGTTGCATATCTTAACTCGACTTTAGCCTGCAGTGTAGACGTATCCTCAGTGATTCAGAAATTTTCAACTTTGGATTCATTTTAATTTGGAGCAAATATTTAAAAAAAATTAAATTCTCTTCAAAGGAAATTTCCAGACCTTTGAAACACTTAATTTCAATTTTAACTTTTTAAGTTTTTTATTATTCAAAATAAAAAATTCAAAACAAAAAATGCAAAGATTTTGTTCTGAAAATGTCAACTGAGAAATTTTGTTACATTGTTGGAATTTTCTTGTTAGAATTTTGGACCTGTATTTCCAAAAAAAATTCTGGTGAAATTGACCCAATTTCAAGAAATGTTTTGATGTAACATCAACATTTCACCAACCAGCACTAGTTAGTGATCTATATCAAGTGCCAAGACCTTTGTTTTGCTGGAACATGCTCAATTTACATATGATTGCATAAACAGACAGCAAATAAGGAGGTAGAGGGAACACTGATTTCATACACTGATGTACTTTATCCCTAGACTTAAGCATAGAAAGTTTTGCTTGGAGCTGGGTTATCAAATGAACCCTGTAAAGAGTTTGTGAGCAAAAACTGTGGCTCTCAAAATTTTTGCTGGATATAGTTAGATTGTCACCTTACTTTTACAAAGTACCCACCTTCTTCTTTTTAAAGATTAATTTTCTTGGTGAGAATTCTAACACACTTTCATGCCCCCGCAGACTTCATGGCTTGTTATCAGTCTATTACTCTCACATTTAACTTGATAAGGACCAACTTCCTGTGATACTCATTTCTGAGTTTAGATTCCTCTGAGCTGCTGTTTGAAGTGTCAGATAAAATTCGAAGCATTGCACACTGTTGCTGGTTTTTAAACCCTTCATTCATTTGCAGTACATAATCCCGTTTCTTCTAAATAATTTTCTGTGAACTCTTGTATTCTAAAACCAGCTTTTTGCTGTTAATGAGGACAAAACACCAGCGTTTTTTTTCTAAAGTAGTTAAAGGTTGATCTGCTTCAGTCCGGAACCTTTGGGACCTGACCGATTCCAAATGGAGAATTTTCTGGACCATGGGAGGTCAATATTGTCTATCATCATTACCTATATTGCTTATGGGGCTATTAGAGGATATTTAGGGGAAAATTAGAGCTAAATAACAGCACAGAACACTAATAGCTAGGACTGGTGGCTATAAAACTTTATGCGACCATGGGAAACTTCGCAACACACATGAAAAATGGACATCTGACTAACTAAAATCATTCCGGACGACGGATGTTTCTGGATGAGGGAGTTCTGGATTAGAGAAGTCGACCTGTAGTATGTGCTGTCCAAAAGCTTTGATGATTTAGTGTCCGTTTATTTCTTTTCCTACCAGAGATTTACGCACTTAACTAGGATCAGAGGAATCCGAGTTATATATTTCAAGCAAACAAGAATAGAGACTAGATTTCTGTATTTTTGTTTTCATGCTCCCTTTCTCAATGTTACACTAGCCTTATGTTGTCTACAATTTGTTCATGTGGCTCTCAGTAACATCCAGCAAACAAACACAGAGAGTAAATGGCCTACGAAGTTGTATCCTAATGGTGGATAAGCATTTTACACTGGCAATTATGTCAGTGTTGAGCTATGAGTTAGCTAAAGAGATACAGATACAACTGGTCACATTCTGCCTTTCCTTCACCCAGTGCTTTTTTTGTGACAGTACTGCCCGGTACTCAGTATAGGCACCTCCAGACGCAGTATCAGCACCTCCAGTCAGAGCTCAACAACTTTTCCCCTGGAGTACCGGCCCTTTTTTTTTAAAACAAAAAAAGCACTGCCTTTACCTACCGTATATTCCGGCGTACAAGACGACCTCTGAAGTTAAAAAACATCCCCCAAAAATCAGGGGTCGTCTTGTACGCCGGATGCCCCGCCGCCAGAGCCCCTCCGCAGCTTTGAAAGCCCATGTGCGCCTGGGATGCCCCGTGCGCGGGGGGGGGGGGGGGGGGGGGGAAGCCCAGGCGCTCCTGGCGGCTTTGCTCCCGGTGCCTCTGGTCTGCTGGGGACCATCTCCAGCAGACCAGGGACACCGGGAGCAAAGGAGGCGGAGGGGCGCTGGGGTATAAGATGAAACCCTATCTTTTAATTAAAAAGATAGGGGGTCGTCTTATATGCCCAGTCGCCCTATACGCCGGAAAATACGGTATATCCTGGCAACCCCACAGAAATCAAAGGTAGCATGTGTATAAATGAATCTGGATCATAAGCAGAAAATACAGTTCAACATCCAAAATTTTCCTTCATAATGCTTAAAATCTATTATTACACCCACAAAGTTTACCAAGACATCATCATCAACACTTGGTCTGAAGTTTAATCTTTAAAAAAAAAGGCTGATCTCACTATCATTTTTGAGGGGTCTGTGGGCAATAAGAACACCCAGTCCCCTCCCCCACCCCAGTGGAGGAAGTGAATCCAATGTGAGGTCCCTAATAACCCAAATTAGCTGCCATGGGCCAAGAACACAATCACAAAAGGGTATCAGTTACCTTATCTTGTCTCTGAATGAGAAGGACAGTTTGCAGCTTTGGCTTCCAGCCAGAATCCCTGGGTAGGCCCAGTACTGTATGTAAAGCGTTCTTGCCCTCATACCTTGCAAATTTGTAATACTGGCCACACTGGTTCCTGGCTGAAATCTGCACTGATACAGTTCTGCTGGGTAGTTTGGGGAGTGAGGGTTTTCAAGTTGTGACCTTCACATTGGACCATACTATGGTTTGTATCTGTACCCCCACCTGCATCAAACTTTTTGAAGAGATTTCTTTATTGAAACATCTTTCCCATTTACAAAACAATAACCAAAAATCTCCAACCCTGTCATCTCAATTATTTTCTACTATTTTGGAAAATCCTCTCTCCAATTTACACTGTGGATCTCCTACCCTTCACATGATCTTTAATGGAAATTACACACATAGAAACAGAGCAGAGAACATGCAACAAATATCAGCACGGTGGTACTGTATAGGAAGCAACCTTTAGCAGGGGTACCAGAACAGGGGGAACCAGGAGCCCATGGACTCCACACTTTTAAAAGTGGGTGGCTCTTAGGGATGTAAATATCCATTAAAAAAGTTAACTGGTTAAACAATATAATTGTAATATTGTTTAAGTGGTCAATCGTGTGGCTGGATTCTGGCCAGCCTGCTGCAGGTGGGGATGGGGAGGGGGACTGTTCCAGCTGGCTGGGGTCCCACTGCACCATGGGCAACTGGGGTCTGCTGTGCTGTGGATGAGGGGCTGTTCTGACTGGCTGGGCTCCTGCCACTGCAAGCAGGGGAACGGCTGGCCTAACCACAGTGGGAGGGAGGGCTACTTCCCCCGTCCAGTCATCCAGTTAACTGCTTACTGTTTAAGCATGCTGGTAAGGCTAATGCTTATTGAGTAACCTTTTACATCCCTAGGGGCTATGCCCTTCCACTTTTTACTGGGCATAAGGAAGAGCGAAGGGAAAGGGGTAGAGAAGAGCGAGTAGAGCGAAGGGTCTGAGGAAAAAAGTGAGCAGAGGGCAGGATTTCAGGGGCAAGGAGCAGTGCAAGAACAGGGCCTCGATGGGCAAGGTCATCAGTTGTCCTTGACATTTATTACTTAATTTTATTATAGGGTATAGGGGAGAATGTGCTACCCTGGAATGCAAACGTACAATTCGTATGCTAAGTTATTTACATGTACATGAGGGCAGAGTTTAACCCATACTTGCAGATAAATGTTTGTTATCTTTTCATCAAATTCTAGACGTGGATTTGTTTCAGATTTGGGTCACAAACAGCTGACGAACTTTGGCTAACATTATTTTCCCCCTCACAATCAATACAGAGACCAGAATTATAATTACAATGAATCACGGAGCCTTTTTGCACACAACTACTCACAGATATTTGCTGTGCCCTTAGGAATAGGCAGATATGAGCCAGGACTCCAAGGTCGACCCTGATAATTCTTCTTGCACTTCCCGCAGTCTGGGCCTGTAGTATTGTGCTCACATTCACAAAACAATTTTTTGTTTTCTTCTTTACAGCCAGTGGCATGAAGGTTACACTTGCACCTATCAGAGAAAAGGTACGATGTTATGTCAAGTTGACATTTGATTTTAGACGAATGAGATCCTAGTAAAATACTCTGTATGGCAGCCAATATATTTTTCTCTAGCTTTATGGTGTTACTGTTTTAACATGTCTCCAAAGAAACCTTTTTAGCTCAAATCGGTTACCATGTGGTAGCCTGCTGTTTAGAAACTTTTGACAATAACAACTTCATCTGAACTCCAAGGGGCTGATCCCTCTCATTTACACCATTTTTACACTGAAGTAGTTCCACTGAAATCAATGGAGTTACTTCTAATTTTTATTGGTCTGTCATCCTGTAAAGAGTGCAGCGGGACTATTCATAGGGATAAAATAAGACATGTGCTGCAATTGTTGCCGGATTTGTCCCAAAGTGAGATCAGAGTCATGTCCCAGGCACAGACTTTCCATTAAATGTCCTCTAGAATACCCTTTTTTATTAAGAAGGAATGGTTATTTTAGACATATTTTATTTTCCATACAACCAGTATAATTGTGTTATAAAGCTCAAAACAGAGATGACAGAAAAACATGTTCTCAGATAACTAATATAGAGTTCCTTGATTAGGCTCTGAAACACAGATTCAGTGGCTGATAAACTAGTAAAGAAAAAGTCTGTAGAAAATAAGCCCAATGACTCAAAGAAAACAGAAAGTACTGCATTACCTACATTTGGAATAGTTTTACTAAGGACCTGGTTTTTTTTTTGGCTGTGAATAAAATAATGATATATAGTAGAACCAGTGGCTATGAAAAAATATTGCCCACATCATATACTTGAATGTAAAATTACATAAAACAACTTATTCGTTTAAGAGGCAGGTATTACCTTTGTACTGTTCTAAGTAGGGATGTTAAATTTTGATTAATCAACTAATTGAGTAGTTGATGGAATTTCCATCAATTACTCTATTAGTCGGTAAGGGGGGCACTCGCTATCCCGCTACGCCTCTGCCTTTGAAATGTACAGGAGCCACTCATGGCTCCTGTACATTCTGAAGGAAGAGGTGCAGTAGGGAACCCACTCAATGGGAGACCAAAGCAGTCCCTGCCCACCCGTGGCTCTTGTACATTTCAAAGGGAGAGGCGCAGCGGGGACCCCACAGGCAGCTTTTGTATATTTCAAAGGCAGAGGTGCAGCAGTTGTGACAGGCACGAGCAGGGAATGCTTCAGTCATTTCCCTGCTGCGCCTCTGCCTCCCTTGTCTTCCTCTTCCTCCTCCCCCTCCCACAGAGATGGTGCTGTGGGACTGACACAAGCAGGGACTGCTTCAATCCCTGCTTGCACCGTTTCCCCGCTGCACCTCTGTCTCCCTTGCTGGCCCCCGCCCCGCAGAGATGGTGCTGTGGGGAACCGGCTTTTAAGCCAGCTCCCACTTCCCCCCTTACTGCCTCTCTCTGATAGAGGCAGTGGTAGTAGAGGGTGGAGCAACTTATCGAGTCATTACTCGACTACCCGATAAGCATCTGTACTGCCTAATTAGTCCAAAAGACTATAAATTTGACACTTTAATATTACAGATTTATAGCAGCTGAAGGGCAGAAAAAATAATTTGGTAGAAGTAGTTTATTTCCATTTTTTTTGGAAAAAAATTATTAAAACCATTAAATGAATCAGAATTTGAACCTACTCTGTTTTTAAAATAGTTAGGATAGTTTCAGGAACAGAAAAAGCTAGTCTCTGAGAAACAAAGTTATTATTTATTTCCAGTTGATGTTAGAATAGGTAAAATTTCCTTATTATTGGCTCTGGAGAGGCAGCTAATATTTAGCAACTCTGGTTCTTTGTTTTCCTAATGATTATAAATCCAGTAATTTAAAAGGCTCTCATGTGGGCATTTGTTACCTGTTCCATACAGTGCCCAGTAATTAGAGCAAAGCAGCACATGGAACGGCCAAGATTTTTAGCAAGTGCAAATTAACAGCTGCCAAGCTGGCTTTATTTAAGAGGAATCTAACCTGAAGCATGTGGCCACACACACAGACAGACAGACACACACACACACACACGCACAGACATCCCCAGGGTAAAACAAACTTGCAGTTGCCTTAAGTGGCAGCTTGAGAAAAACCACCAGAATTTGTAATATAGAAGATGTTGTATGTATTCTACTCACTCTTAGAAAGGAGACAGAGTGAACTGCTTGTTATTTAAACAACGCTCACACTAGCTGGAAATATAATCAACACCTTTTTAATTACAATTTGCAAAAAAAAAAAAAAAAAAAAACTTTTTTAAAAACATGACCGAAAGAGAGAGAGAGACTCTTCTAAGCAAACAGTATTTAATTATAGGCTGTTTCCTGCATATACATACTACATGCAGTGAATTACTTGCAGTGCTAATTTGCTAAAGGGATCCTTTTTTATACAACATTATCACCTTTTTTTGATAGTATGCTCTCTATATAAACTACAGTCAAAATTGTTAGGTTAAAAGAATGGTTAGGTTACAAAGTCAAGCATTAAAGAGAGAGGAAATACCAGAGTTAAGGTTAAAACAAAAAAGGAGTCCTGTGGCACCTTAAAAACTAACAGATTTATTTGGGCATAAGCTTTTGTGGGCAAAAAACAACTTTGTCAGATACATGAGTTAAGATTGTCTGTATACCCCTTTGTGTATTTGCATTATGACAGTTTTTAATTACATAATCCACAAATTTCTTGCCTGGTTCAATGAATTAAATATTTATCTGTATCATTCAATATATGGTCACAGGCCTTATTTAATGCACTCTACTCAACAACTGTACTGAATAGAAAATTATTCATTTTCCCGTGGACAGTTCTATTGTGCTCTTTCCACAGTATCCTAGTCCTTCACAGACACTAATTAATTCACCTTCATGACACTTCTCTGAGATGAAATAGTATTAGTATTCCCATTTTACAGATGGGGAACTAAGGCACAGAAATATTAAAGCCAAAGTTGTCAAAAGCTGTCATGAATTGTTGGGTGCCTAATCTGAGCCTACCTGTGAACTGATTTTTCAGAATATTTGGCATTTTTATTGGCACTTTCGTGTTTATGGCACAAATCCAACTGACTTATGTTACAGTGGTGATTGATCAGCACTTCTACAAATCTGTCCTTAGGTATCTCACACTGGGTACCATGAAAGAAGGAACTCACAAGTCTGGGCAACTCTGAACATTTTAATTTAAGTGACCAGCACACAGCCACTCTGATGGTGGCAAGGATAGAATCCAGTTCTCCAGTATAGCATTCAACTTTCCTAATCATAAGACCATCTTTTCTCTTCCTGAAATTCTCTATCTCATTCACTGCACATCTTACAACTCTGGCCCATCACCTTCTTTTCCGACAAGCCTCCAGCTCTTAACAGCCACTCTTGGAAATCTCAACCATATGAGGCATTATAATCTCTGCCATAATACATATATGTGCCAGAACTGAAACTGCTTTAAATTGTCAATGGAAATATGCAGATTTACACAAGCTAAGAATCTGGTCAATGCATATGTCTGAAACCCAAGTAACAGGCTCACCTACAAAGTAACAATATAATAATACAGCACCTATATATGAAAGAAAATCTCAGACAAGCACAAAATGATTACAGGAAAAGGGAAGAGTAGAAAATAAGAGAGAGTGTTAAATTCTAGGAGGAGTGATTCTAATTGCATTACAGAAGCAGCAATAAATGTGAATGTTGAATGACTGAAAATGAAAACTGACAAGAATTCTGAGGGGGCTGAGTGAATATATGGGGGCAGAGTGGAGACAGACAAAGATCTGCGATTCAGCTAACATTGATAATTAAGCATAAAGTGTAGGCAATACTGAGGAATCCTTGAAAACCACAGTTATTCAGACAGTTCCCTTAAAGAAGACTGTAAGGAACAAGAAGTGACTTACTGAAGGATTACTTATAGATCACATGTTAAAAAACAACAACGGGTATTATAAAAGGGGAATGCAAAAACATGAATACTCAGAAATAGTTAAGACTTACAGGAAATGGAGAAAGGCTGAAGAAAACCTCAGATGAGTAAATATTCAGAGGATAGCCCAAGTGAAATACAGGAACAACTACAACATGAAAAAGATTACCTCATGTAGAGGATAAAGAAATCAAGACTGCAATAAGCAGCAATATGTTTATAAAGGATAAATCTTGTCAGAAAAAAATGACTGCTTTTCCTGACAAAATTAGATCATAAATATGACATGTATACAGCAAGCATAGCATATCTGGACTGTAGAAAATACAGAAAATACACTTTTGGAAAACTATCTAAAAACTGTACCAGAAACAAAAGATAAAATACTTTTCTACCCAATCACACACTGTGAATTATAGGAGAATGAACTGTGACTGTGTTAAACTTTTGGGCTCTAACTCCCCTTTGTAAACCATGCTAGCAAGAACTAGAAGATATGTTGTTTGCATTAAGGTAGTCCTGTTTGAAACTGTACTATTACAAATTAGGTATCTTTGAGATCATGCTAATAGGATCTACATGTGCCAATACAACAAAATGCTTCTCTATGGCTTGCAGGTCACATCCTTGTAGTCCATGCCATGAAGACAAACTCAAAGACTAATGGCAATGTGTTGCTCTGGAGAAACCTCTTTAATTAAATACTGTTGCAGGGGTATTGTCAGTGGTGGGTCTGACCTTCTGGAAGACCACAGCTAACAATCAAGAAACGGAACTAAACTATGTGCTAATGAAATCCAAAGAGGAAATTAATCTGGGAGTAGAAGAATATAAACGAAATCATACAACTTGGCCCAAAGAATAGAAACACGGGCAGAAACCGAGTCAGATAATCGGGAAAACATAAGACCTGATTCTCTTCTCTCCTTACATCAGTTTTATTCCAGTGTCACTCCATTAATTTCAGCAGAGTTACTCCTGATTAATAACCAATGTGGAAACAGGCCCTTACTTGGTGAGATGGTGAAACCTAGATGACAATAATACTAAATGAGACCAAAATATAACAATGGAC